TGAAGTCTTTATTTGTAACAATGATTCCCAAAATCTAATAATTTATTTAATAAAATTCAATTCTTATTTAATAAAACTACTACTTAAACTAGGATGACTGACCATTTAGTACATATACTTTTTTTCTTTGAAAAATTATAAAATATTGCTTGACATCCATGGATGTATCTCTAATTTAACTTTTGTCATTCCAATTCTTATTTCACAAGTATACTAAAAATAAAGGATAACTGAGTTATTACATTCTCATTATTTTAAAACCCTACCTATGGTTTAAGATTCACTTCTTGGCTGTGACAACCAAAAAAAATAGCTCAAGAATCACAGACAAATTCAAAAAGCAATGCACCACTTCTCCGGTGTTTTGTCATCTTGTTTGTGCAGTGAGAAATATACATATAATCAGTATACTCCAAGAACTCAAGTTCTGCTTTGCCCAATAATTTTTAGCTATTTCAGTTCTTCAGCACCTTTATCATCCCTTATGCAATTAGAATATAAGCATATATGCACATAACATCTAAACAACAAAAAATAACCAACCACAAACGCAAAAACTTCTGTCAATAGTCAACTGCTAAGATGATTGTACAGCTGAAATCCCATTCTTCTCAGATAGGTCTCACATTTTAATTGTGCTGTCATATGACTACTCATTTCTAAACACATACCCAGTTTTCTCCATTAACAAGTTTTACAGAATAAGTCACCCGATATTGGTCATAATTGATGTAACCTCCAAGAAAATAATATGACAAATTAATTCAAGAGAAAGTTCATCACACTGGGTAAACCAAGTAGAAAACATAAACTATAGTAAAATGAAGTGCAATTGAATATTTAGATTTTGACAAGCACAAACATATTTCATGTAGCATTTGATCATCAAAATACAGCATTCAAAATCAACTTACGGTAACACTGTGAAGCTAAGTTAAAGCACTAAATAAAGTTAAGAGATTTCATAAACAATTTCATAACACAGTTTTCATAAAATAGTTCTTGGATGTGTGCAAGCTAAAACAAAAAAACTCTATATTAATACGTGATAATATCTATGTTCTGAGACAGCAGTCTGGAGTACGTGAAAGAAAGAACACACAGGAAAATAAAGTAGTTTATCTAAAGAAAACCTAAAGTCTGGAAGAGAAGATAAGAGTAATAAAGGATTTATTTTATACTTACTGCTGAATGAACAGAAAACATAAAAGTGCAAAATGATTTAAAAAGACGAGGATAATTGCAGAAACCAAACACACACAAAAAACCTCACACCACAAAACTCTCATAGAGGGAACCTGAACTGCTTAGAGTCTTGCCCTCAATGTCTTTAAGCCAACAGCAAAAGTTAATTAACTCACATTGAAATAAAACACACAATATGTTAACAGTCACAGCATGCCAGTATCTTCGTAAGTGTCTAGCTGTTTCTTTCAGAGTAACAAATCTTGACTTTGAATTCAAGGCCAGGAGGATAAAAGAAGGTTTGCATTATAAAGATTTTATTATCACTCAAGTAGTAATTATCAGTGTATTCACTATTTTGGCTGTTTCTTGGGAGGCACATGGTTTAGTCTTTCCCCTGAGCACAACTTCAGAGTAAATTAACATGATCTCCGAATTCTCTGAAATACCATAACTATGAGATACTACTCAACTAAATGATAGACCTCAAAGTCTTGTATTGCGTGTTTGATTCTCCTCACTTGAAAAGAACAAAAATGAAGCAAAACATTTTATATGTGTGTCAGCAGTGGTACATGGTCCTTAAATGAACAGGAGTTCTCAGCCTGCTTCCCAACCAAAAAAAAATAAAAATGACTTATGCAATTTTTAATTTTTTTTTTCAAGACAGAAATGAACTCATGGCACCAGTGGCTCTCTTGCGAGCACCAAACACTGGTTTGGAGGAGAACATTGCTAGAAAAACATTCGGTGATAAAAACTGGTTGTAGCTCGATCCCTGAAGTCAGCTCCACTAGACTCACCATAGGTGTGACGCTAGAAAAATGATACCTAATGATGTCTTTTTATGTTTTACATAGAAAACGAAGGAAAGCACACACTTGCATTCATCAGTGAGAATCTGGTTGTTCCTTCAGAAAAGAAAACCCACAAACAAATATAGCAAAACTTGACCTAGATTGCTATATACTAGCTCTTCCCATCAGATGGGGCTGAGACAGTTTAACTGAATTGGAAATTTGTAAATTTTTAAAGAGCAAAAGACAGAATTCTAGGTTGGCTGAGGATCAAATATAGAGGAAAAAAAGAAAAAAATAGAAAAATAGCAAATCAAGCATTAAGCTATTTTTAAATGTCTTTTTTTTTTAATCAATATTTACTCTTGACAAAAATGGCAAAAATATTTGCTATTTAAATTTGCATTTTACTAATTTGATTAAAATGCATAACCCAGCATGCAACTGTCCTATTTCCCCAATCAGTTACACATATATTACTGTTGGAATGATTTAGCTTGGTCCATACCTTAGCCAGCCATGGTTAAATTTACCGGTACAAATCCATCTCTACAGGCATTTTGCCGTAATTTGTCTGACTCAGAAAAAACTGCTGAAGTTTTTAGATGTGTGCTTATCTCTATCATCCTAGCAAACATGGTTCGAAACAAGGTTATCAGAGAGGAGCATCACGCTCAGTCTACTTTGTTCAGCACAGGACACTTTAATTTCTTTCAGAAAAACTGATATATAAACCTCTCTGCCACATAAACAATCTACCCTTTTGATTTTCTAGTATCTAATTTAATGGAAACTGTGAACTTTTAATATTATGGAACAAAAGTACAGCTTTTAGCAAGTTCAATTCCAGAACAGACACCAATTTGATATATACATATATACATATATATATATATATGTATGTAAGTATATATGTATGTATATATGTATACATATATATGTGTAAGAAAAAGTAATGTTTCATGTTTACATAAAACATGATGAAAAAATCATAACAAATCGATGAAGTTTTACAGAAAGTGTCCACTTCTGACAAGCACAGAAGGACTTGCCTTCAGTGGCACTGAACAGCACAAGACAAAACCAGAAAATGAAGCTAGACAAAGTATTTTTAACATATTCCATTATTAACTTTTTTCTCTTTTCCTACGATGCTTATCACAGTGTCATCTAAATGTATGTGTGAGCTAGATGCATGTTATGGCATAGGTAAAGATGAAATAATGTTGTTTTTTCCCCCTTTATCATAATACTCTTCCTAACATCATTCTTCCCTTCAATTTGTCATTTACCAACTCCTCTCCAAACATCTCCGCTTTAAGCTGACATCAACCAGGGATTCCACCAATAGCATTTATTCATTGATCAATGAATTTATTCATTGATATTCATACAGAAATTTCATTCCTAGCTCGCCACCCATCTCTTCTAGTGATTGAGATATGGGCCTACAAGAAAATATATTCTTAGGAAGCATATATATCACAATATATTACTTAAATTTTGAACATAAGAGACTCTAAACTAAACTTGGTACATCTGACTTCTAATTTTCTAATCTTCTGCTTTATGATGGAATTTAATATTAAGACTATTATTCCAAATCAAGGAAGAAGTTTGGGGAATCTATGATAGTTTTTTCACCCTTCAGGGGAGATGAAAATAAAGGGAAGGAGATAACTTCAGTTGATTCAGAATCTCGAGTGTTGCTCTCATATCCTATACATATACTCCAGATATTCTAATATGTAGGTACAAATAGTTGATATCCACACAGATAACTACCAAAAATAACTACATATTGTTACAATGACATGATACTCAATGACACGATACTTTTTCCCTGAAGCCAAAGATACTAAAAGAATTCTAAAATAATTTCTTCCTTCCAGGGGAAATCATCCTGGATGAAGCTGTCAGTGTTCACCTTAGCTTGAAAAAACTAGGAATGAACAATGAAAAGACCTATATGGATGTATGAATCCAGGAAAAGAAATAGCCTTATTCTGTGTTTGTCTGGTAAAACAATTAATAATTATGAATTATGAGCTATATACATGGTATTCTCTTATTATTTTTCAAATAGAGCATCAACCACCAACAATCAACCAGGAGTGTTATATTTTCTCTCTCACTCTACAAATTCAACCTGGGAGATATAATAAACATATCTTCCTACTGGGAATGTGAAAGGTGACTGTAAATACTCTGGATAAAGCATACTATAAAACATAGGAGGAAGAAAGCAGAACAGGTTAACACAATGACAACTACAGTATTTCATTCCCATTTCCATATAGAACAGAAAAAAAATCAATGTGTATCAGGTATAAATGACAAGGTTTTTGGTGGTGGGGTGAAGCTGCAGGGCTGGCCTCTGTGAGCAGAGCCCAGCAGGAACGATCTGTTCCTGAAGGACTGCACCCCATGGTACAAACCCATGTTGGAGCAGTTCTTGAAGAGCTGCTGCCTGTGGGAAGCCCACGAAGGATCAGTTTGTGAAGAACAGCATTATGTGGGAGGGATCCCACGTGGAGAAAGGGCAGAGAGTAACCATAAAGGAGCAGTGGGGACAAAGACATTGAGTTTGTTTTGTCTGTTACGATAATTGCTGAGTGATCTCCGTGTCCTTAACTGAACCCTTGAGCTTTTTTCCATTGTATTTTCTTCTCCTTTCCCTTTGAGGAGGTTGAGCACGAGTGGTGGAATTCAGATGCCCAGCAGGATAAAACCACCATATTATGGAAATTCAAAAAATGGCTCCATATCTTCCAGTGAACCTTGCCACAGAAAATACTACTTTTTTGTTTCTTTTATCCAAATTACTTTTTTAAAGAAAGAGGATGTGGCAATCAGGCCTTCCAGATCCATGGGTATGTCTACCTACACTTTTTTTTTTTCTTTTTTACTATACCACCTCTTCATGTTTACAAAAAAGAAGCTCTTATTGCTTCATTATTACTACTTTAAAACTGTAGGCAAGAAAATTAAAAATAGTGTTAACAAAAAAGAACTCACCACAATTCCAAACTGCTCTGGTTCAGACAAATTATTGTACTCGCTCTTGAACTTGGACAATGCATTCAATTGTTCTTGTTCCGGAAGATGTTTTATTAAATTCTATCAAAAGAAAAGGAAGGAGGCTTGTAAATCTCAGATTCTGCATTGCTTTTATAATTGTATTTAAATGGTATTACTTATGCATCACTAACATGAATTCCAAAGGCAACACTCCTGTGCCAAAGTTGATAGGAATTAAATAGGTAACCCACAAATTCAGGTTACCAAGTGTAAAAAGCAAATTATTAAATGCCACTATCTTCTGCTGATTCTTTGAACATACATGTTTCTGTTGTCTTTTACTAAATATCATTTTGTAATGAGTATGTTTGATATGCACTGTGTAAACAAAACGAAAGGAGTAAATAGGACAGGGAAGGCAGAATAAGAATTTCAACTGTAATGTACCTAACTAAAGGATGGCAAGAATGATTAATGCTAGACAAAAAAAATATTTTGAGAATGGATAATTTACCTTCTAGTATTTCAGAACAAAAGCAGACTGCAAGGTGATGACAGGTAAAGCAATGCCTATACCTACAAAATCTCAAACCCATTGAACGCTACTTAGCATGCAAACTTTCCAGAAGTAAGACTTCAGAGGTGGTACTCAGCTTCAGCTCAATTCATAAGTCCATATGGGAAGCTTAGGCACTTACATAAGTGAATGCCTTGTGAACACAAGAGTCTAAACATGACACCTTCATCTGATCATCTAAGAAGACTTCAGACTCCCTGGAGCTTCCAGAGCACTTCAGCACCTCCACTTACATATAGTCATCTGAATTTAGGCACCTGAATCTCACTTAAATTACCAGCTAGGTAGCAGGTACTTCTCTGAGCTGAAGTAAAGATGCAGTCCTTCTAACACTGATTCAGGTTGGGCAAACACAGCTGTACCACTACCTACTACCATATTTTCAAGAATGGATCAGAAGGACTAATTCTAACACTTTCCCATTACTGTGTGGAACAGCAGACACTTAAGTCAAAATCTGTTTTAATACTCCGCAAGCAAATAGTTATATTGCTATGCAATCAACAAAATAATTTAGTCAAGTTGGTGAACAGGATCTCCCTCTGATAGCCTTAAAAAAAAAAAAAAAAAAAAGAAAATACTAGATTTGTAATTCCAGCATACATGTATCCAAAGTATTAATGGTTTTTAAAACCAGCTTGAACACTTTGATTCTTCTTTTAGTTTTCCTATACTCAATCTCTTTGCTCTTGAACAATCACTATTTTATGGTAGTTTAGCATTTATCAAACCTTTTTTTTCTGATAGATAAGAACTAGACAGTACTTCATCACTGTTCTGTTTTGGTGTAAAAACAGTCGCTATTTTAAGAACTGAAACACTACTTTGATTCTAAGGACTAAGATAAGTAATTTGTTTTAAAGCATTTTGTGTCATCCACTGTAAGGACAACATAGTTTATCAAGAAAGTAAAGTCAGCAAATAAAAAAAGAAAAGCTAGACTTATGTGCAAGGACCAAAATAACCAAAGAAAGAGTAAATGATAGTCAAAGAATGAACTGTTTCAACAAACACTCCACTCTCAGATAAGGATTTTGGTAGAAAAAAGGAAACCAGTAAAAATGCAGGAATGATGAGGCTTAAAATAATAATGCAAAGTTAAATTTTATGGATCTGGTTTTGAACGTGGCCAGACTAACTTTCAGCATGAAGAATTTATGATGGTAGTCATATATATCCTTGCTGTTATTACAATTGGAAAACATTTTTGTAAAAAATAAAAAAGGCTACAAAAGGCTACATCTATTAATTATGAATTAAGATGTCCAGCACTAAATCTATAAAATTCAGCAGACATCAAAGGGCAGAGAGATTCCAAGTGTAAAAGGCACATTTTAAATTAGGTTTTGATAACCTACTTATTTCTGTCTTGATATACACATAAAAGTTATTGCCAATACTTTAAATATACTACAATTCCTTAATTTTTATTGAGATTAAAAGGTCATTGTTTGATAATAAAATAATTTTCACATGTAGAACGACCGATCACAAAACTTTTCAATAAGAGAAACAGTCGAGTGTTGTATGAATGTTTTCAATATTGAACACCAAAAAAAAAAAATCGAAGCAGCAGCTGGTATCAAAGCGGCTTTATGGTGTTCAGATAAAGCTTTTGAACTACTAGAGATGAAATACATTTTGAATATCAAACAGAGAATAAGGAGAATAAGCAGGAGAAAGAATTTTGACTAAGTCACGGGAAACATTCTGATAATTAGTCAATGACTATTTGGATTACAGCATAAATTTCAGAGTTCTGATGTCTTTCAGAAGCATATTAATTTTTCAGAAGTGTATTTCAGAAGTATATAAATTCTAACAGGAGAAGGGAGGGGAACAGGATGGAGAGAGACACAAATTATACATTTTACTTATGCACTCTGTATAACAAAAAGGTAGGATTAAGGACAACTCTCCAACTTCAGAAACTGTGACATTAAGATTTACTGGGCAATATTAACAGCTAGACAAAAAAAAATGGTGAAGATGAGAAATTTCTGAAAAGGAGAACCAACAGAATATTTAAGGTATCATATAAATACATAAAAACAGCCACATGCTTATAAACCTATGTATGCTTTTACTCAGAATAACAAAATACACAGAACTACATTTTCATTGGATATCCAAACCCAACACTAGTTTAGGTTTTTAAAAGCAGACATACTTTAAAAGAGACAATACAGATGGATATTTTAATTTATTTAGTAACCTCAGCATATCTGAGGTTACTAGATTTTTAAGGCAATGAGACACACGATTCAACCACTTTCAAAGGAGGATAGATGTCTAAGTGCTTTTTGAGGTTTGAACTTAGATGGTACCATTTTCGAAGTCCTTACTGTTTTACCCAGAAACGAGAAGCTCGGATAAAGCCATTTGACAGAAATGATTACACACAAACTTGCAAAGTAAATTTGGAGCTAATAAGTCCCACTGAATTTTCCATTTCATTTAGGCTTGATAATGTATAATCACCTTTAAAAAAAAACAAGTGACCTGCAATCATCCAGCAGCATTCCTTATTACATATATATAACTTTCATACAGGATACTGTGAGCATTATTACTTGTATTCTACTACACTGACTTTCAGTCAGTCGCAGCAGTTGGTAATATCATTGTCTTCTTGTAGGACATTATTCCTTACTTCACTTTTGGTCCTTCAATGTCTCTTATCCTTTTTTTAAATAACATTGTTCCCTCCCCTCCAAAACCAAACACAAAAGGACTCAAACACTAACTTGTCCAAAAGACTGTAGACTCTCATTTCTGATCTCAAAAACACCTAAAGATACAAAAAAATGTTTTGTTTTCTTTGAATTACAAACAGGGAAGTAATATATCAAGATGTCAGTTTTTCATAATATTGATATATAATATATATTACAGACAGGTTGCTTCACAGGATTATTAAGGATGTGATATCATTAAGAAGCTGAATTTTCACCACTGGAAAGAATGCTAAGGTCAAACAGCATGATGGAGATTCAGAGAAAACATGGAAACTCTGAGACAGAGGTCAAGCTGAACATAACAGTGTAGCATATTCTACCTCTCAGATTGTCATGCAGTTCTACAGAATCTCAGCTATTACCCCACATATTTATTTTATATACATAAAGAGACACATAATGCATCTTCTAAGCACAGAGAAAACCTTGAAAAAGAAAAGGGATGTAAGCACAAACTAGCATCAACAATGAGCTCTACAGCATAAACTACTCTGTTCATCCTAATAACCTTAAAGCAATACATAGTTTCAGTGGCAATATTAACTGCATCTTGATGCTCCATTTTCCAACAAAATGGAAAGAATTACACAATGATATATATATGCAGTCACTGGAGATGATGGCTCATCTTTCTTCTTTCAAATATTTCCTAAGAAAAACATCCCATCCTGCAAATCATTCAGTAGACAAATTCCCTTTAAAGGAAAGTGAAGTCTAAATAGCTCAACAGAGTCTAAAGATCTTTGAAATCCAAGTGATAAAAGATGACACCCAAACTGCATAGTGCACAAAAAGGTACATGCCGAACATACAGTCTCCTCAGTAGGATCTTATTTTGACATTTCAATATGGTGAACATTCAGTTTGCAGGCAAAGCACGCAAAAATTAATTTTTTGTTTTGTTTTGACCTTTGAATCCAAATTGCTACTTGTTGCAGTATGAGTCATACATTTGAATCTCGGGAGTCTGAATGTTACAACTCATTTTATCTCTTTTTATTACCTATATTTCTTTCTTTACTAATCAACAGATCTGCAAAAAGCTTATGCTTCTAAAAATCTAACTTTATCTTTTTGGGATGTTTCAGCAGGGACTGGTGCCCAGCTCTCCAACGCACTTTCAGGTGTGTTGTACATGTCAGTAATCTAAATCCTCCTTAGGTAACACCTACACTACATTACTAGTACATTGTTCACAATTAAAACTTGGTATATAGGAGCCATAATTACAAAAAAAATTGAAGTTCATCACAATATATAGGAATCCTGTCCAAAAGAACGGCAATCTTGGTCTACAGAAGGATCTCTGCAAATCTAATGGAGCGTCATCAAGATGACTGTGGGGCATGGCATACAACCTGGGGACACAGCAGAGAAGTTCAGAGAACAGCATTTGTGCAAGTTTAACAGAACTAGATTCAGGGGAATTTAATGTAGTCTTCAAGTTCCCAACAGATACCTGAAAGATATATAAAGAAGATATAATACGGCTCGTCTTGGAGGGGTGCAACAGAAGGCCAACGTTTCAAGTGCCAAAAAAGAAAATTCCAGCTGGATAAACAAGAAAATGTTTTTCCACCATAAAGGTAGTCCAACACTGGAAAATATATCCAGAAAGACTGTGCAATCTCAATCCTTGAAGATGCTCAAAACCTAATGGGAAAGGTCCTAAGCAATCTGCTCTAGTTGTCCTGGCTATGAGCAGAGATTGGACCAGATGACCTCCAGACATTTCTCCAAATGATTTTTTTTCCCATGGTTCAAGAATAAAGCATTTGTATTATAATTAGTTTTATGGAATTCTTCAACTTACCATCCTTTAAATAACTCTGCAGATAGAAGAACATAAGGAACTTTGAGTATCTTTGTCTCCACACAGAATCATACTTTGAATAAAATAATATGGAAAAGAAAAACACTAGCCAAATAAGCTCTAAGGAAGAAATGTGGTCAGTGTGGATGTCCTAAGGCAAGATTCTAAGTAAGAGGAAAGAGAAAAGAGAGAGTAGAAGAAAATATCCCTTTCCACCTAGTTTTCAACAAGAACAAAAGATTTGTGCAGCTGAGCCTGGGGTAAAAACAAATTTTAAAAGAATATACAGTAACCAGGGAACAAACATAAGATGTTTGAATATACAAACAAAAATAAAATCAATTTAGGTTTAGATAATAGGAATACAGAAAGTAGAGAACATCAACTCAGCTACTTTCATAAAAAATAGCTTTACAAATATAAAAAGAACTGGAGTTCACAGAAAAAAATAACTCTGACAGTGATTTAATAGCCAAACAGTGTACATTAAGAGGCGTTTTAGGCACAGTTTTCAATTTGATGAGATGCTTACCCTGAAATACTGGGATTTCAAGTGTCAAATTTCCTTACCTGAATCATGGACTCTGACAGCTGTGTTTCATCTACTTCCAATATCATCATTTTGATTTCCTCATAAGGCACTCGGAAAGATCCAAGGAAAATTGCTGAAATAAATATTCAACCCACAATTAAAGAAAACAATTTATTCATTCTTATAAAACATCAATTAAATAGAGTATAGCATCTAAAGGTCAACAAACAAAGTAATACACATAAGAGAAGTAATACACATAAGAGAACAATTTAAAGTGTATTTTTATTTACTGTTCCCCAGTAATTCCAGCTTTCTCCATCCATTTGTCATGTGTAACATCTAGCATCAAAGAACACTTAGACAAGTCTACTCTCAAGGACAGTCATTGCCACCATAGTATTTTGTACCAAGATGACAGTTAGGCTTTTTTCTTCAACAGTCTCATTAGTGCTTTCTCACAAAAAAAGCAGCTCAAGAAAATTACCACTACCAAAACCATGTAAGCAGTTAATATACATAGATACATACATATATTATTTTTTTCATATAAACCTGTTTATTTCTTCACCATTATAAAATCATTTCTAATTTTATTTCTGCCTGCCTTTAGTTACCTATTCATTATACCACTCTCGTCTGCCAAAACTTTGGCTTCTTTATTTGTGTATTATTGTGCAGTACTGATTATTGCTTTCTTCTGCGAAGTGCATGAGGGTTGGCCAGACATCTTGTAGACATTACTGTCTTTATTGACTTTTTGGTTGTGTGGGCAGTAATCCTTAATGAATATGTTGAAAATAAAGACAGGTAGTAGATATTCATCTGTATCCTATTTATCCTATTGCTTAGGATACCTAATGAAATAAACTCATTCTTAAATGAGAGATATTATTTAACTGTTTTCTGGGTCTTTTTTTTTTTTTAACATATATTTTCAATTGTATTAACTTACATGTTTGAGTTTAATGCCACACATATAAAGCATACTCTCACACATTTAACCAAACAGTGGTTATGAGGCAGTCACACAAGAGAGAAAGACATTTTTAATGGAATATTAATATAACATTACTTTATCATAAAACCAAAATCTACTTACACAGATTCTGTGCAATCTTTGGGTCCAGCACTTTTAATTCCTTGATTCGTTTCTTAATGGATTTCTTTTCTTCAAAATCTTCCTCCTCTTTTTTTACTACCAAAGTAAACACAAACACACTCACTGTTAGCTTTTGATATTTAGACGATATTTAGAGAAAACATTAATGAATGCAGAGCATATTTCCTGCCAAGTGTAGTCAATGCACAAAGAGAAGAACAAATCGTTGAATATACAAGCAAAAAATAGTGGTTTTGTATTTAGTGCTCGTAATCTTTAAGTTTTTGTTTGTCAGTCAAATTTGTCAGCATGTTAGCCTTCTAGAACAAGTTTGTTTGTTTAATATATGACTTGAATGAAGATGCTAATACTAATTGTAAGAGTTGTCTGAGGACATAAAAGAATCCTTAACATACCGTGCAACTGACTTCAGTCAACCTGGCCAGGTTAATACACTGAATTGGATTTTAACAATAACAAAAAAAAGGTAAAAAAGAAGGTACATAAAGAAGGTATGTGAATACCTCTCAACATTGAGCAATAAAGAAACAGCCCCAAATTATGTGGTTTTGTGCCCCCTTGTCTAAACAAATAATTATCATAGACCACAGGCTCATTCAAAGACTAACATTACCTTGGAATATAAGTGAGTACATACGTATTACCTATTTTCCTTATCTCCTCCAAAAAGATGTTTTTTTATATATATGATGTAATCACCTTGTTAGAAAATAACATAAAGGCAAAGTGATTGCATAAACACGCAGTTAACAGTGCTGGAAATTCTGGCTTATTCTTTCTTTTCAGATTATAGTTCATACAAATAGGATCTTCCAAACACATTATACAAGCTGAATTTATTTCTCATTATTTACACATTGTCAAAAGAATTTTACTTAAAATAACATAGATGCTTGATAATGTGTTACTAGGAAAAGAACCATTCCAGCTATTATGGAAACAAAATAAAAGACCAAAAACAAACAAATCTTTCCTTATATCCAATCTGCATTGTTTTTTAATTCAGCACAAATCTTCACTGTCGAACATTATTCACCCAATGAATTCCTATTGTTTACCTAATTATCTAACATCTGAAATTAGTTTCCAAGCTTTGCAGGATGATTGTCCTAAATTGTCACACATGCTTCAAATATTTGAGTAGAAAATATATGGTAATAAAAGTATATACCACTGTCTTCAGGAGATGGATATAAATGAGAAGGCTTGTCAGTAAGACTGGTCCTTTTGACAGCAGCCATATCATATACTTGCCTGCCTGATTACGGAATTATTAACCCCAAAATAGGTAACCCAGTCTTTCTGATCTGGGAAGACATTCATCAAGCCTAACATTACCCTTGAATGCACCAAATCTTATATTTCAAATATATATTGAACCTATTTTGTGTTTTAGTAAATTGAATTGTTAGGATTACAATTTCTAGCTCATTGATGATTCCTGACAAAACCAGATGTAGTGTGAATTACCAGGAACACTTCCCTAAATTGGAATGACTTCTGTGGATTTTAAGAGAGAGCTTTGACAGCTACGACATTCTTAAAAAAAAATGTATTTTTCTAAGCATAACAGGTTTTATTCAGGATAAGAAGACAGATTTAATGATGTCTTGATGTTTCTTGACGTCTTTGAGCTGCGTTGTCCAGTATGACTATTACCAAAGAGATAAAAACTTAAAGACCTCACAGAGTGATTGAAGGAACTGGATTCTAGTCCCTTTTGAGTTGGTGGACATGCAAATTTGAATCATCTTCCAAATCACTTTTAATACACTACACCTGCTAGGCAGCATGATGCTGCTTTTGAAGATAAGCCACAGTGCAGAAAACAACCTGGCTTTCCAAAAGATGGAATCACAGAACTAAGACATAAAACAGTCCTTGGAAGAAGGACAGATATCTAGGTTCCAGGCAAGTGGATTACAAAAGGCACAATCCACTTTAGTTATTTTCCTTGCCCTACCCAGAACCAGTTGGTCGTGTGTTTCTTTTAGCATGGATTTATCAAAGAGGTTATCATTCTCCTGTCCCAGGAAAACTGAAACACTTTGTTCCCTACACATGTGAAAACAAAGGAATAGGTTTGAACCATCAATCTGAGAACTCAACATCCTATGCTCACAAAAGGAACAGAATGACACTAGAGCTACAAGACAAAAAGGAGGTTTGCCACTAAAATTTCTTTTTTTTTTTTTCTGGCTATGCTTTTAGTATAGTCCTTACCGAATCCAGAAGGATGTGTTGGGGTCTGTGGATCTCAAAATCATACAACTGCTTTCTCCAGCAGTAACTTCTTATTGACTACATGCTTAAAACTGTCATTCTTAACAGTTTTGAGTTGCCTATCTAATCAGTGCTGTAGCTGCCACTAGATCTGTGCCACATCTCTGTGGCACTGGTTCTATACCATTTTTATGTCTTACTAGTCTGAACTATAATGAAAATATAGTAATAATTTACATCTAGTCTGGAACATGACAAGTCATTATTTTATAGGAAACAAAATAATTTCCTTAATAATCACACTAATACACTGTAATTACTTGAATTTACTTAAAATTGACCTGATAGCCTTGAACTAGGAATTAAATAAGGGCTGAAATAGAAACATATTTACATTTTTCCCAAGGTAGAAAACAGTATCCATGCACTACAAGTCTCAGAGATAATACAAAACTATACAAACATATATTAAAAAAAAAAAAAAACAAACAGCAGTTGCACACAATTTTAACTCTCAACTTTGATATCAAGAAACAATGCTGCAAATGAACTAATTCTCTCTGGAATTTTCACCAAAGAAGAGGTTACACACAAAGTTATAGCAATACTTAAGGTATCATAACCCTAAGGAAAAATATATAACTTACTCCAGGAACTCATGCAGGTGTTGTATGCAGTTATACAATTATGCAACAAACTAAATTACTTCAAACTTACATGATACTTCTTCAGGAGAATTCAGGTCACATCCTAATGTTGTTGCCAGCAGAAAGAAGCAAAGCATACATATTACTTGTTTTCCCCATAGGAAATGTTGTACTTTGCAATGAAAACTCTGATACTTACTACTGCCTCTAGAAAATTTTACCTAGTTTGCTGACTAATTTATAAGAGAGAGGGAAAAAAAAAAAAAGAGAGAGAGACAAAAAACTACTTCCATAAATGAAAAAGAGGAAAAGCCCAAAAGGAAAAAGAAAATAAAAATAAAAATTGAATAGAGTATCTGAACAGGTGAAGTAAATATCTAGATTATAAAGAAAATAAGTAATTAGACTTTTACTTGGGGAGGGCACTAGGACAGGAAGGAAAGCATACAGAAAATAGAAAAGATAGAAAATGGAAAACTTCTGCTTACACTGGAAAAAGAGAAAGCAGCCCACTGAGAGTGGGCAGCTGCTACAGAAAAGAGGTGGCTATCGAGGATAATAGCGATAAGACATTCTTGTTCTATAAAGAGAACAATCGAACCAGGTGATATCAAAATGCATATCCAGCTCTCATGGCTCCTGAAGTTGGACCATCATATTATACCATTGACTTATTTCAAAATCAGATGTCTTTTTTCAGGTATTATGCAACTAGACAGTAATGTCAGGTATTAATTCCTGTACACCCTCATATATTCTGTCTCCATGCTACACCTATTAGACTGTGGGCATACGCATGGTCCAAGCATCAGACCTATAGCATCTTTGGCCAGTAGCACCTCATCTGATGCTCCAACTGCTCTGACGTCTGAGGCTGGGAAACAGAATGGTATAAACAAGCAGACTTCATTGCACACCCTTCACAGTTCCAACCATAGTCCCTCATCTCCACAGTTCCACATCCTTACTAACGTAAGGCCAAAATTAGCAGTTCTGAATGTGCAGGTGAACAAATAGCTCAAATGAGTTTTAGCTATTAGAAAGGTTGCTTTTTATTGCCTCTTCCAAATGTCCATCCATATACACATTCAACTGTAGTCAACTCTCTCCATCTGTGGCAGCAATCTGAATGAAATCAGAGCCTGATGGGAGTGGTGAGAAGACTATTTTACATATATGACATTGCAGTTGGAAGCCTATAGCATAGTGCTTTATGAATATGTGGATGGAATCCTATGTGAGCTACCTTATTAATATTTTACACAAAGCTTTTCAGCCTATTTCTTCAGTATTCTAATGTACCACAAAATACCCACCTTATTAAAAATTATAACCCCTTAACAATAGAACAGGTATTTTGTGATACATAGAAATACTAAAAAAATATATATTTGCATGAGAAAATCATTGAAGCATTATAATATGTATGAGAGTTAAAGTAATTATAATATACCAATGCCTTTTCTTATAGCTCTGTAAAAGATAAAAACATCCAAAAAGGTGTTCCAAATTGCATTTATTACCTAGCACCTTTTATATTACTTAATACAGTCTTCTTTCAACTATTTCTTGTAAATGTACATCCCATTAAATGCATATAAATAAGTACTTCAGCTTAGAATCTTTATAGGTGCATGCATCCTGCCCACTGAAATACTATACAATCATGGCATGAATAGGTGGAACAACATAAAAAATAAAATAACAAACAGATAAATACATACATATCACAGACAGACATATCAGGTCCTTGTTTGCAAGAAGACGATAACTGGCACAGGCTGATTCATATGACAAGAACTAGTACACTGGCAAAAGTGATTAAACAAATAGACTTATGTTTGGGCTTTCAACCTCTTTTATAGGAACAAACTCCAGAGTTTATAGTTAAAGAGTACTGCTTTTGGGAAATCAGTCAAATAGCTAAACTAAGTCATTAGGCAAGGTTTTTTAAAGCAGAAATACTGTCTTAATTTTATTATTAAAATATAAATGCAGTTATACTGACCAAATAGTTTCTAAATGATGATAACTTATTCAAAAAACAATGACATTAGACTCTCTGATGTCTCTCTTCCATTTTTAATGAAGTTGATAAAATCTTAAAATAAAATGCAATTTTGAAATTATACATCTCAAGATCTAAAATCCTGTGAGCAATATGATATATATAAATCAGAAGAGTCTGTTTCTTAGCTATAATCC